AGTCTTCAGGCTGCCCCTACAAAAAACGGCTACCGGCTGAAGAGCTTGCCCTGGAAAAGGCAACCTTGCTCCTAAGGTCTGAGTCAGGCTTACATATTTGCAGTTTTGCCTCACCCAAGCTATGTGTCTTCAACTCTAGACTAAAGTACCCTGCACTCTCATACTTGCTTTCCTCCTGGCACTACAATTCTTTCACCCCTGGTTGTGTACAGCCCAGTGGCGGGTGGCAGGTGAATGGAAGGAGCATTCACCCCTTGCTGCAGCTCTGCGCCTGAGTCACTCCCCGGCAGGCAGATTATCATGAACTGGGGAATCCCTCAGGCTGACATGTCCCCTACCCAGGCCTTCCCCTTACTAGGTTAGTGCTCACCTGCTAGACCATTCTCTGAAAGGTGAATGCCATGAGCACCATAGTTTTCATGAATGTACCAAATATGGCATATGTTTGTGTAAGAGCAGCTTTAGACGCTATGCTTTTTAGATCAGAATTGTTGATGTACACACAGCCAAGGCTTAGATGCCTCTTTGTCTAAGCTTTGGCTAGCAACAAGGCATAGGCAGGAGCTAGACACCTCACTTCTCAAGCTTGGGTGATTTGGAGCTGTGCTGGATGATGTGCTTGACAGCACAACGATCAGCCAGAGAGGTGCCTACTGAGACATCAAGGATAGTCTAAATCAACCTATTAAACACAGGTACCTAAATTTCATCTAACTTGTCTGGATCTTATCCTGTGAGCTACTTCAGTTAGCTAAAATATACCTGAAGTACACCTTTACATTTCATCTGAAATACACAGGTAAAATGTCCCTGTGATTCACTGTGTATATTTGTTGACCTCCAGTTATTTTACCAGTCATATTTATAAAAACATGGTGACACATTTTAGGCTTATAAGCAAACATCAGGGCAGAAAAAGTATTGACAAACAAGCTTTCAGCAAGTAGGTGTCTGTTCATATTCAGCCACCTGACTGGACTGAGTTGGCATCTTTAAAACAAGGGACGGTTTGGTTGCATTAGTCCGTTGGTACCTTTTGCCTAAAAATTAATTAAATCATGTTTCTGATTTAGTTGATTGCCTTGCTCCCTCTGTCTCTGCTTTGAGGTGTATTAGACAAACAGTATAAGAAGATATCAGTATTTTCTTTTCAATATTCTCTTCACTGTTGGAATGCTAGGTTCTTTTGATGTTTGGGGACTTGCACAGTCCTGACTACCTTAGAAAGTCTGGCCAAGCTATTCTTTTCCATCTCTGAATACACCTGCACAACTCCCATTACAGCTGATGGAGTTATGTATGTATACACATTTAAGAATGAATTGCATGTATACAGTGCATATACTCCTCAGCAATGTAATTAGACATGCATGCATGTTCGTAAGTAGAAAGATGATTCACCACTGTGTGTTTCTATGTACATAAAGCCTAACATCAATAAAAACATTAACATATTAACTAAAACATTCTGATGCCTGAAGATCGGCAACTGTTGAACTAGCTGGCAAGTAGTTAGCTTTATAAAAAATCAATTCATACTTTTTCATAACATTTTATCCTCTTACAATAAAATAGTTTTCAAAACAGTATCAATAGGTTCCCATTCAAATTAACTTTTCTTTTACACCGTATCTCATTCAGGTGTTTTTTTTTTTTAAACAAAGCATTTCAATACCAATTCTGTAGTAAGGTCAGGTAAGAAGCTTAACAGTGATTACTGTCTGACAGCTTAATCTGTGCAGTCTTTTGTCAATTTTTCTAAAAGGTATTCAGGCAGAGATTCCACATAAGGAAAAGCAGCGATTTTTAGACATCTAACAACATATAATTTTGTTAAATTTGCATTTAAAAAATGCTAGATTTTTTTTAATTATGCCTGCTTGTTTCTATTACAATAGGCTTCCTGTAACGAGTCTTACCTAAATGTGATGTTGACTGTCACCACTGTGTTATGTCTCCTATTTTTTTAAAAATTCACTAAGATCTTTCAATCTTTTAAATATTTGATCCACATTACAAGATAGAATGCTGTATCAAATGGTTCTAAAAATAGCAGTTTTCTTAAAGCTGATAACCAGGGACATCTGGGGGCCTCCATAATTCACTCCTACATTATATATTTGATTTTATTACTTTGTAAATGCTACTATCTTCAAAAAGAAGATTCATTTTACATAAACTGGAAAAACAAATTTTCTTACTAATTATGCACTTTTGAAAATCAAAATTATACATAAAAATTAAAACATGTCAAAATGCTAGGTACCTCATACAAAGTAATCACACCATATGTTTGCGCTGGCTCTCTCCATTGAAGAAAAATCTTCTCTTCAAAGGTACTCCCTTGAATGGATTCAAGTGGCACAGCACTTGGGACTAAAGGATAAAAAAAGGGAAAAATGCTGTTTTGAGAAAAATTTCAGAAGGAGACACTCTGCTTAATATTTGTGCTATTGAGGCATAAAAAATGTCCTACTATTATTTCCCCAAGACTGAAGCAAAGGCCAGAGTAGATCAGGAGAAGAATGATTTAACAAGATAGTGCCATTAAGGAAATATATGTGTCACCTTCAATCTAAGAAGGAATTAGCGAGCATCGCACTTATCCTGTAAAACACTACTGATGAAAGAAAAGGACAAATCAGCTTTTTATAAGGAATTAGGCGATATCTCAAATATAAATTCTTGTAAATAAAATCTATTGGTGATACCTACTTATCAATAGTGTTACTCTGAAAAAACATATTAAACATTCATATATGAAAATGGACAAGCATTGAAATAACAAGATATAGTTTCAACAGACCGAACTAGAATGATTAGCTTGGAAAGACGAGCCACATGTTGCATAGAACAGCGATGCTCACTGACATTAGGCCTGAAGACCTGCAGCAGGGTGAACATAAGGAAATTATAAAGCAGCCAAACTGGAAATCTGACATTAGTAATTTTTCTTAAAGTCTCTTAATTTATGAGAATGACCTCTGAAGAGTCAGGGATGTCAGAAGGTTCTGATAAAAGGTATGTCAACTGCTCTCAGGTATCTACTTCTGTTTCCTGTTTGTTCTGCAACAATTGCCTTATCCCCGAGCCAACCTCAACGCAGTTTTCAGAGAAGGGGATGTGTAAACTGTACGTGAAAAGCCAGTAAGAAGACACACTTAACATTTTCCACATGCTAGAGAAAGAAGGTGAAAACTACTTGCTGCAGTGGTTGAATTAGCTTCTGAGACCCCTAAGATTTACCCGAATGGTTAAAGAATAGGAAGATCTGAAAGCAAGACATCTGGTGACTCCTTCCCATCGCTAGGTCTGGTAGAGCACTACCTTCCTCCTCCATGCTGTTGGTCTGGGAGTTTACACGGTTTGAGACTTCATAATCACCTCTCTATAGCTCTCCGCAGAGTCCCTTGCTCTACCAAGGGGAAGCTCCAAGGACACAGGTGATGGTTTCTGAACTGCCTTACCCGTATGGACCAGTAAGATTATGCCTTTAGGGCAACCTTAAGTCTGGGCACTAAACCTTGCTTCCAAGTAGCAGAGAACTGGTAAAACTCATTTGGAATCATGGGGTTAATGATTTATATGTAAAGGCAGAGGAATTAAATATAGTGTAAATAAGTTGGAAGTATAGCAAAACACTGTGGTAACCCTCTAAAATTATCTGAAGGCCATAAACTCTGAGCAGTTATGCCATAAGGGAGGTCAAACACTGGCAGAGGTTACCTAGAGAGGTTGTGGGATACCCATCTTTGAAGATACTCAAAACTCAACTATACAAAACCTGGAGCAATCTGCTCTCACTCGATCTGCTCTGAGCAAAAGGTTGGACTAAATGAGCTCTGGAGGTCCCTTGCAACCTACATGATTATGTGATTCAAAAAATTATGATGATTATTTGGGTCAGTATACTCTGTTGTGTTACGTCCAGATTTATGTACCTTACTGAAAGTGTATGGTATACTAAAAAGTTATAATTTTTGTCCAAGGTATTCTCTCAACCACTGATGCTGGTTTTCAATAGGTCTTGGAATAAGATAAAGTTCCAGAGGGCCAGGAATAAGAAAATATTATGCAAAATTTTAGAGCAAATACATAAACAGATAACAGATAACAATAAGGTCTTTAGCTTTGTCATCCTACAACTGAACCAAATCAAAATTAGAGGATGATAGCAAAATTAATTCTAATTAAACAATTTTTTTGTTAGCTATGCTTTGTCAAATCTGTTGCATTAGCAACTATACATTCCTAAATTGTTTAATTTCTTCCCTCATATATTTTGTTTAGAAATTAGTACTGTACAAAACCAATACAGCATATATTAAATGATTTAATAGGTTTAAATGACAGACTTCCAGTATTTATTATAAGAGGAACTCATCATTGCTGAAGTTTTTTCTAGAAATCTTTCCAACATGTTTGCAGTAAATCTATCATTGACCTGGAAGAAAACACAAAGCCATTCCTGTTCAGATTACAGACGATAAAAATGGGAGGAGGACAGATCTGTTATATAAAGCAATGCCAGTTATTTGACAAGATTTCTTTGAACAGTATGCATTTTAAAATGGCTAAAAGCAAGGTCCAAAAAACTAAGGTACACTTGTAGAGGGCCCTAAGGGGCTATACCTCAGCACTGAGTGTTCTGGAAAGGTGAAACTGATTCCTGGTGCATGACCAATTCAACAAGGAAGCCTCATTTTGGTAGCGTAGCTAACAGAGCTCCAGTAAACTCTCTGCATGTATAATCACAGTAATATCACAGAGGACTTAGGAGAATGGTATAACCTTTTCACGCAATATTACTAGAGCATTATAGAGACACAGTAGCCAATTCTGCTGTCCATGCTTCAAAAAAGACACTCACAAATTACATTATTGCTCCAAATAAAAAAATGAACTCTGAAAACTCCACATTAGCCGAAAATTACTAAAAGGAAGGGAATATCTATGTATTTGAATGTCTGTATATGGAATATGTTGTCTGAATAAGCAATTAACGGTGTCCAGTGGTTGGAAAGCCGAAGCTAGAGAAATTGAAACCGCAAATCAAGAACAAATATTTAATGTTGAGCATACCACTCAATAGAAAAACTTACATGAGGATACTGTTGACAATCATCTGAAATTTCTTCAAACTGATACTGGAACTTTTAAGAGGCAGAACATAGTTCAAGCACAAGTTACCAGTTTAATAAAGAAATTATTAAATGATGTGTGATGTTATAGGTTATGTAAAAGATCATTATAACACTTTTAAGACCCTTTATTGCTTTAAAATTGTTGAAGTTGGTGGAAAATCTGTTACAGATTTTAGTGAAAGTAGAACATGCACTTATATAGAAAAGCGTATTGACTATCAAGTAGTATGAATGTACAATGTATATGTATATGTAAATACAAAAACTCACCATCTTCATCAGTTTGTACTACAAGTTCTTGGCTTTCTTTTCGTCCTTCGGGATTCATTAGTACTAATTTGATGCTGACATTTGTGTATGGTGATAGATTAGTAATTGTGTGCTGGGGATGTGAACTTTCTGTATCCCAGCTCACTTCTTCTCTCACTTGCTCTTGTCCTCCAGCCTGGTAACGGTAATGGACTGTGAGGTTGTATCGATGGCAACGTGTGACATTATATCCAAATGGTTCCCAGCAAATAGTGATTTGTCTAGATTTGATCTCCATAACCTCTAGTTTTCGTGGCCCACGCATTGGATCTGCAAAATTACCAACATAATTCTGGTATGATTATTTTTTCACATTATAATAGTAAGTAACATGAGTGATAAGAAGTCATGCAGTTCTATAAATATGACATATAAGCAGAAAACAAATTCATTGCTTAATCTCTCATAGTGCAAATAACAATAGAAGTATAGGTCCTTGAAAAATCAGGAAAAACAAACAGTGAGAAAAAGAGAGAGAAGCGTCTTGATGAAAAATGAAGAGCAAACAAAATACCACAAAGTTTTTATGGTTAAACTCAAACTGCACCATACAGTTTAAATGATACTTGCTTTTTTACCTATCTGTTGCTTGCAAAAAAAAAAGTACGTCCGATTTTTTTTTTAAATTAATTTGTGTTAACACTTTTAGAGCAAAAACCTTCACAAACAAGTATCTAAAAAGAAAAGTTCATTTTAGGGAAAACTTGCAAATGCCTGGTGATTTTCTCCCAGGACTGCTTATACAAAGAAAAAGTGCTAGGTGTTTTTTCAGCTATTTCTTATTCATTTGTTTTTAAGTTAAACTGAATGCAATTACTCAATCTCTATTTGGCCAGGACATTAAGTTAATATTCCAATTCCTTTAAAATAGTCCATAGGGTTCTTTTCCCATAAACATTAGTTGTTAATAGCTTCTTTCTTTCTGTTTTTTTTTTTGCCACATCTAAAATAAACAGTGCAAATACCTCAGTTTGTAGTAGTGGTTTAGCAAAGAATCAAAAGAAACGCCAGGAGGCGCATCAGCCAATATCCTACTGCATTTAAGATTTCCTAAAGATCTCCCATTTGATTACCAGCCATAAATCACATCTAATAAAATCATACCCAAGAACTTATCTATCTATATACAAGAACCAAAGATTGTGGTTGATGAAGTTAAATTTTCTTCAGCCCTACTGGTCCCAGCAATTGAAATAGAAAAGTAAACCCAAATTTCCACCATATTAGAGCAAAACCACTGAGTTGACACACATCCCACATTTTCAAAACACTGTCATTAATAGAGCTATTATACATATTTAGCAATAATCTGGGTTTTTTTCATAGTGGAGCCCTCAACAAGATTAAAGACAATGTCTGGTTTCATCCACTGCTTCACTAGTTAAATGCTTAGAAGACTTCTAATGAGCTAGAAGCCTCTTATACGTAAACAAATTAATATGCATCTTCCCTCTTTTATGTTTATTAATCAACATGTCTTCACTAGGAATGTTCTAAACAATTTACACAGGATTTAATCTTTTTACTTTTTAATAAAATCCCTGCATGCTTGAAATATTTGTTCAAAGATGTTATTCATCTTAACTCCTTGAAGAAAAGGTGTTAAGAAATTGCTTGTTCTCTGTAATATCTACAAAGCAGGGTATTTTTTCCCCCTTTTAAATCCTCCAGCTTCTTTTTTTTTTTTTTAATTAATTTCCACTACCCAACAGTGTTGATCACCAATACAGAATATTTGCCAATTGCTGACAAAATGGCAAAGCAAAACAAATTCAATAATGGATCTAACCTGGTCTCCTTTCTAGTGACTAGACTGAGTGGTAAAAACATCCTCACCAAGGATAAATCAGTATAGAGCCATTTACCTGCTTCCACCCTCAGATACCCCAGCTAAGAATCCTGGTGTTCGGGGTATTTGTGATATCTTCTATTGCTACAACAATTAAGACTAATGAGAAGCAAACCTCAAAGACAGGCAAGTCCTAAGAGTTTCATGTCTTCCTTAAGCATTTACTTCTGCATAATTCAGACATAAATTTCATGAAAAAGGAGTTTTCCTTTTTTTTTGGTTTCCTATCAGCTTCTAGGCATGTCTTCATCTAGGTGAGACTATGAATAGCAAAGGACGGTATTTGATGGGTATTGTGTAACTGTAATGCTATCCAAAGGGGCTAAATAGGACTAGAAAACCAATAAAATTGAGGTGACCCTGACATACAACATTAAGCAGTTGAACAAAGTTCCTAGCTGCAAGAATATGGAACAGCCTGCTTAGTTCCATAGTAGGCACATCAGAAAATTCACAGGGGAGCTGAGAAATCATTTTATTAGAGACATAAAACTAATTTGTAGCATTTTAAAACTGAAATTGAGTGGCTGTACAAAAAAACTGGATCAAAACCTATCCAAGATTTCTGCCCAGGAGGAAGATATTCTTATGTCATGTTACCTTAATAAAAAGTAAAAGTTAGCCCTCTAGTTAAATCTTGAAGTCATTGCTATCAGAATGACAGATACATTTTCACTTCTAACAAAACAGACATGGGAAAAAAGAGATTAGATTGAAAAAAGATGGAGAGAATACAGCTTTTGTTGATATTCACAGCATAAAGCTCATCAGACAAGGCAAATACCTGGTTGTTTTGGTTCCTGACTTGATTCCGTAATCTATAGTATCAGATAGCTATGCAGCTCATATCTGTTTTTTGTACCATTCACTCAAAGATTACACAACTCATAGGGCCCTAATGACCCCTTCGTGGGGTAAGTGTAGTGTGTCAACCAGCTAATGTGTCAACCAATGACAGCACTTCGTGGAAAGAAAGGGAGAGGTAGGTTATTAAAAAACCCTGGGACATAGCAGAGACAGACACTTAAGGAAAAATAAAGCAAGATCTTATATGATGCACCAGGTGGGATAACTGCTGGTTTATGGGGGATGTCAACTGAGAAAGTGAGGTTCAATATTCCAAAGAGGTTTGTCCATGAAAGCGCCTCTGAAGATACAGGCCTGTACTCCAAAGAATTTACTCACTTTGTGTCCTCAACCTCATTTTTAAATTCTCAAAATTGACATGGTTAGTGGAATAGATGATGCTTTATTATTTCTTTCATCAAATAAACCTAATTCCTGAATTACCACTACTTTACTTGCTTTCTTTTATTTTTCTTTCCAATACCACACCTTCATTTATCAGACATGACTTCAGTACAGACCTGAGGATATCAGTTCTCATCTGCTCTATATTGTTAAGTTCTCAGTCATAACAGATCTATACGCTTCAAGTACATGAAAATTTTTTGTTAAATTCAGCTAATTCATACAATAAGCAGGAAAGAGATGAAGGGAAACATGTCTACTTTTAACCAGAAAAAAAGACTAAGGTAACAATGGAATTTTTGGATAAAAAACCATGTGGCTCAAAACAGCCATGAAAAATAGCAGTTATTGCAACAAATGATAGAAAAAGAAGTTTCTATTTGATCAAGTTAGCACTGAGCTTCTCTGGAGGTATCGTTGTATACCCCAGAGGAAATATTTAATGTGATACGGTTCTGAGAGCACAGTACATCGCTTCCAATACACTGGAAAGTATATTCTCTTCATCATGAAGGATGCAGGATATTTAGGACAACACAAAAAGAATGACAGCTAATGACTATGGTTTTAAAGGGAAAGCATGATGACTTCATTTCATTGATTTTATTTTCTACAGGATCTTTTTATCAGTTTCCCATGGTAAGTTCCCAACTTTAAGTGAAAAAGCAAGCATTCTACAGAGAAGCTGCTGTTGTGCTCATGAGACTTGCACTAACTATTCATGTAGTACTTGAAGGTTGTCATCCTAGCAATGGTCTGCTGCTGTTACCTTGCATCAGGTAATGTAAGTGATACCTACACAGGGAAGTGTCATTTCACAGTGCTAATCACAACTGAAATCACATATATTAGAGTAGAAGATGAATAAGGAGATTAATATGCCATACTGATTACATTATATGCAACATATACACCTCATACCCAACAGCTATTTGCTGAACCTTTGTTTTTTCCTTACTTGGTAAAGGCCCACCTGCAGAGAGGTTATACAGCCAGATCTCTCCACTCTGCAGTTCTCTAGATGAACTGAGCCTCTGTGTTCCTCAGTATTGCAGGTATTTTCTTATGCCTCACTGGTACAAATCATGAGACGAAAGGGGAACATAAGGCCTACCAATTCATAAGAGAAGAGGTTTTCCTCCCAAAGGAGGGCACTGCCTGACATGCCTGAAGCTTAGCCAGGTAGTTCTTACTAACTTCCCTGCTGGCGCCTGCAGCATTTTCATACAGCTCTCCTTCTGCCAGTTTCAGCAGGGTATCAAGCAGTGAAGTCTGACAGTTGCAGCTCTGACCTGAGGGATCAGCAAGCCTGGTTCTAGCCCCTGGCACTTTAGCAACCAATTTAATCGGTGATCTTGGCTCCTTCTCTGCTCCTCTCTGTTTTCCTGAGAATATGGAGCAGAGGCTGACAGACAGGATCAATTTCCATTGCAGCTGCAATTCACATCTCATTTCTTTGGAACTTCACACTTTACCTCTTACCACAAGTACAATACTTTTTCAGAAACTCAATTTCAGAATCACAGAGACATTTAGGTGTATTTTTAGCATCCTGTCATTGATCATCAAAACTTGGGTGTAGAATGAAAACTCAGACTGGAAGTTTTGTCTTTTCACCACAGACTGCACAGACCTACTGAAATAAGAGATAAAGAAAGGAATGGCATGGTGATTTTCTACTCCATGATACTCCAGTAGCTGCAGACATCTGGTATGTGTTAGGTACCATTTGAAAGACATCTGAACAATAAGAATGAAGAATTTACTTCTTGTCTAGCTAAACCGCTAAACCACTAAGCCACTATTAGTGCGGTTTAGCTTCTGTAATCACAACTCTTGTGATTTAAATTCCAGATTGGACTCTATTGTCCTCCCACAGGAAATGAAGGATGAACAGAACAAGAAAATGTAAAAATTTAAAATGAAACCAGAATCATCTGAGATTTAAGATATTATCCACTACAGCTCTTTTAAACACAAAATTTAACTAATGATAATTAAACGTACAAGCTTTGTCACAGATTACCTAAGCAGTCTTGTTCAAATTATTTAACATTCCTCTGAGTAAAGTGGGAGTCATTGTACTCTAGCATCAGTATCAGAGGATGTCTCATATCATCTCATGAACACCTGCAAGGAACTTGCATACCATAGTGATGGAGACCATAAGC